GAATTATTTTCAGTATTTTTAAAAAAGTTGTGATCACACTGGACTTATTTTTATAAGTGCGAAAGAATAGTGCAGTTTTGTAAATTATATTATAGTGATGTGGCGGCTACCTCCAGACTCGCCAGCAGATGGCTATAAAATGTTTTATAAACTAACTTTAGATGAAAAAGATGAATTTCTAACTTTGGATTTGTCACCAAAAAGAGGAAGACCTAGGCGTTATTCACAAATAGAAATGGATCCGTTATACGCTGGATCTCGTCCTGTTTCTTCAGCAAAATACAAAGACACGATGGACTTGCTTAATTATATACCCCCAATATACCACAGTTATTTAAAAAATTTGAAACAAAACACGATTTCCGAGGACTTAATCACTCCTATTGATGACGAAAATTAAATTGAACTGATGTATTTTCATATAAATTACTTATACTTATGTTTCAAAATGTACTAATTATCTTTGTATTTTATGAATATTAAAATAAAAAATACTTAAATCAAACCTTTATATTAAAAATATGTTCATGGTATAAATTATTATTATATATGTAATTTATTCAACAATTTTAGTAAATCACTGTCCTCTCAAAACATCGCTTCGGTAAAATACGTCGGACAAAATTAATATATAATTTATTTTGAAAGTGGCTTAAGTCACTTTACCGTAATGTGAAAAGTGGTGATTTTTTAATGTTTATACGAAATTATTTAGACCGAGAAAAATATCAGTATCCTGAGATAACAAATACAAGTAAATCTTCTCGAAAGTTAGCATCCATATTTTTGAACGTGTTAAAAACGCAAATCCTTAAATATATCGACTTAAAAACAAAGTGACTTATGCCACTTTCAAAATAAAGGGCTCAAATATTTCTATGAATAGCAATCCATTTAAATAGAATTTGGTATCAAATTGCATTGATACAGATCATGCAAAACGACTTCTTAATTTTGAAAGTGGCATGTCTACCAGAAGACCGCGAATCTCTCTCTCTCTCTCTCTCTCTCTCTTTAGGCGAAATGTTAACTTGTTAACTTAATTAGAAGAAGTAAAACTCGAATAACAAATATTTTATCTCTTTAATCGTGTTTATAAATTGAAAATAATACATTGATAGTTTTATATTCTTTTACGCCCCCCCCCCCCTATTTGACATTTCATCTACTCGGTCTTATTGTAAACGCATAAAATTCGCGATCTACTTATCAACAATCTTGTCAGTCGGCAATGTTGAATTTAGTTACGTCCGCAGAAAACTTCCGGAAATGATGAAATCTTCGCTCGCGCGCACCGCTATTTGCAAACATAAATTCGACCTTTGTTGCTTCACCTTAGCGCGGTTTGAAAGGTAACAAATGCGACTCGTTGAAGGGGTTGCTCAAAATATCAGAGTTGTTTGGCAGATACATTGCCAAATGTCAGCGGGGCTGCGAGCAGGTAATTACAGTTTACATCTACGGAAAACATTGCTCTGTAAAGGTAACTGGTCTACAATATTCCATGGATCGCACAGATCCATTTACGTCTGCATAGAATGAGGTAACAACGATCGGGACGGACCTTTGTACTTACGCGCGGTATAATCGTGCACCATTATGCAGCTAAGCTGTGCATTGCTTCGACAGAGGTATTAGGGCAGAATTTATGATCGGTATTAATCTAATGAGTGGCTTGTGTTCATTTGTTTCAGGCTTGTGCGAGGAAGAGTCGGGTCAGTCCAATATTATTCTTGACATCGAGGAGAGCAGAGGAAATGGTGAGTCCATCGATTTAATTGAATTCACGCTTTACCTTGATAAGAGCGGCTTACGTAATATGTATTACCCAATTAATGTCCCAATGTCGTCTTACCGTGAGCAGAATTAACTAGCTTACCGTATGCTGTTGTAAGAAATATTAACACTTTAATTGTCACGCCAGCGACCTCAAAAATGTCGTACAAATCAAAGTATTTTATTTAACCCGAGAAAGATAACCTACGTCGCAGAGGCGTCTGCGAAGACTGTTGATTTTTGTTAATTTTTCATAGAGGTCTAGTGATTTAAGTTTAAAATTACTTAAAATATAAAAAAATATAATATAAATGCATTTTATTTTTACAATAATGCCAAACCTTTAAAATGACTAGATTAACTTAAATAAATATCCATTGTTAGTATAAAATTGACGCCTTAGAAAAGCATGCGCCTCTGAAGCGTATGGTTATCTTTTACGTACGTTGTCATATGGTTATCTTTCTAGGGTTAATCAAATTAAAATCGAGAAATTAAGTCGCATTACATTAATTCATTTTCAAACCAGAGTTGGGTAATATTTATAGAGAAAATATTTGAAATGCTATTTTAAATAATAGATTCTTCAGAATTCAAGTAGGACATAAAATTTCAGTAAATGGAATATTTTATTCCGATAATCCACACTTCAAGCATGAAATAAGTATTTGATTTTGAAAATGTAATACGTAAAACAAAATAGTTTATTTTGGTAATCTAAAGTTAAATCATGAAATAAAACATAAAAACAAAAGAAATTTATTGCTTTTTTAACTACAGCTTTAATAAAGTGCATCTTTTATGTACATTTATAATGCAGAGGAAAAGCACTTCATTTTAGATTATCAAAATAAATTTTGCACTACAACTTATGGTCATGCCTCGTACTTTCAGAAAATCAACTTTTAATTAACTCTTTTATATACAAACAAATATTATTGCACGATCACCAAAATTAAATATTGAGAAACTGTGCCAAAGCTAGTATGTTTTGAAAGTCTAGCTATCGGACATTCAAAGCAGTTCATTAATTAAAGGTCTCCCAGCGAGTCTGTAGCGCGTTTTATCCGGCAGGAAAATTAAATACGACCGCGGGATGACTTCCGACGTAATTAAAATGAAAAGTATAGGCACATATTTGCAACCTAATTACACTTCGAAACAACAAAACATTACGGAAACAGTTTCAGTTTGGTTACAGCAAAATAATTTATGGAAATGAAGCTTAATAGATGGATATATTTGTTTCCTTTATTTAAAGTGTGAGGCGACATTGCTTTAACCTTTTTTATATCTTATCTCTAATAGGCTAAAAAATTTGGCACATTTCAGGAGAACGATTTTGGGACAAAGACAAGATTATTCGATTTAATTTCATTGATCTTCCAATGTTCATTTCTTCATTCCAATGTTTCATTGATCTTCAATGTTTCATTCTTCCAATGATCTTTCATACACGTATCTAATCAAAACAGAAGTTTTAATCAATGAATATAGTGACTTTAGAATTATGATTAGGTGTAATATTATTGTGCTATAGCGATATAAAAAGAAATTAAAAGAATTTAATTCAATATCTTTATCCGTAAGTACGAATACTTTTATGATTCACTGTCTAGATTGTGAACTATACATATTGCCATTCTTTGATTTAGATTGGAGACTAATTGTACAAATTTCTTCAGATGCATTAACAAATTAAAATAACAATTTATATTTATACGTGTCTTATACACGACTGTCTATTCCCATGAAGTGAATTCGGTTAAACGAGTTGCAACAAATCGTATATAATAGAGATAAAAAAAACAATATCGATCTTAAATAAATACTTATTTCTAAAATGTTGAACTTCTTGAAACTTTCATATTGTTAAACAATAGAGGTGTAAAATTAGTAATAGAAATTAATAAAAAAATTTATTTTTATAACTTTTCGACTGAATTTTATAAGCTCGAATACTTATCTTGCACGAAAATTCGATATTCCTTAATATTTTTTTAATTATGTAGATAACGTTTTACACTAAATAGAAAATTTCTTCCATTTTGACATTTATGTACTCTACTTTAATATAGCGTAAAATATTTTTCCCTACAATGTATATTCATTTAAATATATAGGGTAGAAGTCGAAGTTATACCAATGTTCGAATACTTTCGTTATCCACTGTATACATATCAGAGTTGGGCAAGATTTTATTCGTTTGACGGATAAGAGGTAATGACGGATCAATAAAATTCTATTCGATACTATCGAATAAATATCCGATCGAATAAAAATTGTTCACCAATAAGAATTTATTTGTACAGGAATTCATACGCGAAACAATCGATTTTAATAAAAGTGATAGAATGTAAAATGTGTTTTGTTTTTCTAAGCTTATCGAAATATTTCTTCCATATTCCTTTTCTTAAATGTTGCACAATTGAATAATTTTCCTTCACATGCAAAGGAAGTCATCGTACATGCATATTTATAACGCAAACATGTATGCTTTAAAAATTGCATAACAATAAGCGGCCAGGAGTTATTGGCATTATTAATCGAATAATTTTACAATCTCTGTTCGTATAGCTTATTCGAATAAAGAGTTATGCGAATAATTTATTCGAATAAATAGGTAGAATAATTCATGACGAATAATCAATAATCGTTACTCGAATAAAATATTCGACTAAAAAGAATTCATTCGGATAGTTATTTCAAATAAATATTTATCCATCTGCCTGACCCACGGTTTTCCTTGGAAAACGTGGCAATACCGAAATAATAATGTGATCTAGGGACAATTCAGTTGTTCCACGAGTGTCGACCGGTTTGTGTCGGATCTCGAATCGCGATAGAGCGGGTGAAATTGTTCTCAGAAAGTCCAGGATTTTCTCGAGACGTGGTTTTGGCGACGCGGAAGTGTTCGTTAAAAACGCCCAACTACATCGTTACCATTTCGCTCTGCGACGTGACGGTATACACGATCCTTATCGTCGAGCCGCGGATCGTTTTTACAACTTTTAGAAACTCAAATGTCAGTTTATAGAACATACCGTCTCTCGCTATCGTGGCTAATGAATCCGACCTTCTTGCTCTTCTTCCCCTCGACGCATATGCGCGTCATACATGACGTATCCCGAGCATGGTTGTTTTTTGATTGCGATTCCATTTCGCTATGAATATGATCTCTCGCTACTGAAACTGTCTTTTAGCCGTTCGAAACTGGTTTGAAACGCACCGTTACGCCGTATTCAGCAAGTAATGCCGTTAAACGATACTTAATAGCGATCGAATGCTATCTAAAATTATTTTGCAAAAACTAGTACAATGACACTGCGCGCGGGCCAGATTGCAAAACGATAAATCATTTCGAAGTGAAAGCGCAGGTAGGTAATTTAATCGTTTGAATTCTTCTGCGACAGTATTTTTGTGAAATGTTACCATATATAACCGTTTTATTATTTCCGTTGCACTGCTACATTGCGATATCGCAACGTTGCAAGCAGAAATCGCAGTCGTATCGCTTTAATTTCTTTGGTGAAATGTTGCTTCACTTAATAAATAAGCTTACGTTATCGATCAAAAGGCTTAGAATTTGTATTTGCAAGAATTGATTTTCAAGCCTTCACTTTCTTTTGTTTACTTTATTTCTTATAATTGTTATTTGATTCGGTAGTTTCTGAAAATTAGTGGAGACTTTCATATGTTTCATTATGGTCTATAGACAGAGTTGGGCATTGTTTAACTAAATAAAGAATTATTTGTTAACACGTTCCGTGCCACGTGTACCATCGATGGTACACGCTTGCATGTTTACTTAGTGAACTGAACAAATTGTTTACAAGAAATTTAGAACCGAAGAATCAATTTCCACCGCAAGAATGGGCGTTGATAAGTTTTTGTTACGTTGTTATGTGTACGAGAATTAATAATTGCACGTAATACATCAAGTTTTAGTAAAATATCAAAGTGTGAAGATTCGAGTAAAAAAAGCTCGGCACAGAACGTGTTAATAAACGATTATACACAGGGTTTCTGAAAAATTATGTTACGTTTCTCAAAGTGAGCAAGATTCTAGTTACATCGTCTCGGGACATCTCGGGAGCCTTTCGAGGCCACTCGATAGCTCGCGCAGAAAGGGTAACTACCCTTGGAGCCATCAGATTATTACCATTAGTTTATTCTATACAGATACATAATAAAGAAAATTTGCAGAAAGTTATACGATTTTATTAACACGTTCCGTGCCACGTGTACCATCGATGGTACACGCTTGCATGTTTACTTAGTGAACTGAACAAATTGTTTACAAGAAATTTAGAACCGAAGAATCAATTTCCACCGCAAGAATGGGCGTTGATGAGTTTTTGTTACGTTGTTATGTGTACGAGAATTAATAATTGCACGTAATACATCAAGTTTTAGTAAAATATCAAAGTGTGAAGATTCGAGTAAAAAAAGCTCGGCACGGAACGTGTTAATTGGTTAACTACTTATTGTTTGTATAGATATGAATAAATTATTTAAAACAATGAAATTTATTTCTTATTTATAAATAGAATTTCAATTGTTACTTGTTCATTTAATTGCTCAGTTAGTTATTTATTCGAGACAATGCGCCGAGCACACACGTCATAGTCAAGAAATAAACTTCTTCTATAATAATAAATGGAAACTTAAATTTATTATGCAATAAACGGAAAAAAACGAAAGTTACTTATTATTTTCTTCTTGCCTAAATTCGAATAAAATGTAACATTTTATCTGCAAGATTAATATACAAAATGTCCAACGCGTAATATACAACAAACGAAAGAAAAGCGAACATTATTTATTATCCCTAAAATTAAAAAAAAACTAACATATCATTTGCAAATAAGAAATAATAAATAAATTATTTCTGGAATGATTCAAGTGAGTTGTAATTCGATAAAAACTTCAATCGTTTGAAAATAAAAAATCAACGTAATTCGTTATTTATTATTCAAAATAA